CCACCATACCAAACTTCCCAGCTGGACACAGCTCTGCAAGCTGTCGGGCTTATTCTCCTTGCTGCCTGCATGCTGCGCTATGGCTACACGCACACACAAGCATTTATTGGCCAAATTATCAGCCACTTCAGGCCGTTTTCCCGTATAGTCAATTTTCTTTATATCAGTGCAGATCTGATATTGGACTGATGTATCAGTGCACCTCTATTTATAAACATTTTCTAGATTATAGAAATGCAAAACTATTAACATTTCTTAAACATGCATAAGATTACCATTATTAATAAACATAGCATCTTAAAGTTCAGTATGATATTTAACTCTAAGAATCAGACGATGCTATAAGTTCCTATAGTAAAATCACAGTAGCACTAATACAGTTGTTCATACTGAGATCAGTAAATCTGACCACATCTACATGGGACATTGACTACACAGTTGTTACTGTGCAGTCATTTAGTACTTGTATACATACGTACTAAATGACTGTGCGGTAACCAGAGTTACTGCACAGTAGAATCATCGAATGGCTTTTAGGTGATGCTGACTGAGCAATAGCTTGTTACTACCGTGCAGTAGCATTGTGTCATGCTTCATGCCACACACACTACTGTGCAGTAGTAACGAGCTACTACATGGTCAGTTTCTCCTGTAGATGTGGCCTCTGAGTCCTACAAAAGTCCTATATGTCACAATGGGGTATAGGTTGTAGCTGTGTTGGTCTAAGGACATAGGCAGATAAGGTTCTTTGGGTAAATCCCATATCTTTTATTAGACCAATTCCAATTATTGGAAAAATTGTTGTTTGCAAGCTTTTGGGTACAAGTACCCTTCGTCAGGCTGAGGAAGTGTCATGTCACAGTGAAAATTTGAGGGAATAAAACCAAATTTACATAACAAGATTTGATAAGTGATTGTTCCTTCATGAAACTACTTAATTTGGTCTACTTTTATGTGTTAGCTTTACTAAATTAGAGTTGATTTGAGAACACGTGAAGCACAATATTGCATATTATGATTAGTAACAAAGATTTAGAATGGCGAATTCAAAATGTCAGCCATCAAAACTATTCTCTCACAGTTTCCATTTTGTCATCATTGAAATCTAATGAAATGACTTAATAGATTGTTCCTGGTTAATTCTGTAAATACATTATTTTGAATTTATTTTATATTTGCATTATTTCTCTCATTCGTATTGGGAGAGAGAAGAAACCTAGAAAATTATCTACTGTATTTATTCAGATACAAAATGAGGCTTTTCCCCCATAATTGGCATGCTGGAGAAAGCTTCTCATTTTATAATTGCACACAAGATAATCTGACTAAATACATTGTCTATCATAAAACTGCTGCCAAAAGCAGCATGTGCTCAGCAATAGAAATGAACTATGAAGTTGATTATATGCAGCCAACACTGAACATAACTATAAAACACATGGCCCATATCGGGCAAACATGCTGATGTGAACCTTTTTTTAACAAATTTTATTAAAAACACACTTATCACCCTACACTTACAAAGCTATACATATTGGGCATCCTTGTTTTACCTAGACCTCGTAGCACAGAAACAACTACATAACAAAAACATACAGCTATGTATATTAAACCCTTAAACAACATGCATTGAATTCCCCCCCAAAATTAAACCCTTACAGAAATCTTTTTCTTCATAAAGAACCCCATGAAACAGCTGTTACCTCAATGACCACCTGAAACTATCTGCCCTCCCATCGGTCCTTTCTGTTGGTTTAGTGGAACATGCATGTCCATTCCTTTTTCCCTCTCTGTAAAATACCCTTATCCAACATATACATTTCTCTAGGAACCCCATTTTCCCTTGCGCCTTGAATATGTAATCACAATCCATTATGTCATATGCTTTTTCCAAATCTAGGTTTGCTATAACTGTGTTTATTTTCCCCTCTCGTATGTAGGGCAGTATCTCTGATCGCTCTGATCACTTTGGAGATCCTTCTGCCTCAGGGATGGGCAAAATACAGCCTGCATGGCAGAGCCGTCCTACCAGTTGATTGGATCTGGCTTGTGGCTGCTCCCACGGTGCTCCATGTAGGGCCAGGCCCTGCCCAGGGCAGCCCAAAGCTGCACCCCAAGCAGACATAGCTGCTCCCACTATGGCTGCAACCACCTGGGTGCTACTTGGCTCCCCTTATCTCCAGCACCAGCTCCTCCTCCTGCTCCAGCTACACCACTCCAGGCCAGGAGGAAACTTCAGCTGAGTGGCTTCTGTCCCAGTGTGCGGGGCTCTGACTCCAGCTCCTGGCTATATTCCACCCACTCTGCCCACCCTGCACAGGTGGCTGAGTTCAGGAGAAGGCACCTGGGAGCTGGAGTCGAGCCCCACACATTGGGGCAGGAGCCACCTGACTGAAGCACTCCTGGCTGCCTTCCACCCATACACATGCTCCCCCACATACCCCCTCACCCCCACACAGGGTAGGGGCTGCCCATTGAGCCTTTGCAATTATAGCCAGTCCCTGTGAGAAGAGTGTAGTCCTCATCAGTGCCAACTCTTTTTAAAATCATGGTGAGCCACTACATTGCATCCAGTTGGACTTCCTCTTCACTCCCACAGCTGAGCCATGCCTTTCTTTCCTATTCCCAGTGATTCATGTTTCTTCACCAGCCTTGAATGTCTGGCAAACATTACTAAACAGGGACTCAAATGGTTCACCCAAAATCCCTCTGTCGCCCCCTCTCACAACCTGTTGCATATGATTAGTGTGGTCCCACCATCCATAAGGTGAAGCTGAACCAAATTGTCCTGCCCTTCTTCTGCATATACATTTTTAGAGTATCCCAGGATTCATGACAAGAACACCTGGTTCCAGTCATGAGTGTGGGTTTATTAGCACATCAATCCTTTGTGAGGGGTATCTGGAATACATGCACATACTGAGCAGTGCTGAGCTGTGTGGTCCCCATGGTTTGAACTGCTGTTGACTCTGATGGGGCATAACCCATTGAACTATGAGGTAAATCACAAGCCTTTAGCTTTGAACTAATATTATACATAGTTTGTACTACATATAAGTAGGTGCCAAAGTGCTCCTCACAAGTATGTTTATGGAGTACCTGTGTTAAAACTTGTAGCAGTTTCAAAAAAAAGGTGACATGCATCAATTCTGGATTAACTAAGGGTCTGGGTACTATATGGAAATTGCTACAGTCATATTTGATGTCAAAGTTACTGTTTTCAAATTTGCTCTTCACTTCCATGTGCTCAGGGAGAGCAGGGTCTGACAGTAAGGAGAGGGGGAAGAGGCTGCCAGGGGAAAAATTTGCAGGAAGCAGAGAACAAAAGGGCTACCTGACCTCCCAGATTAATTTTTCCTGCTGTAGCAATGAGAATGAGACAAATTCAAGGCAAACCTCCACTAATTAGATTCTGTACTTGGAAAATGTATAGCAAATGTATATATTTTCCATATATAGAATCTAATTATTGGGGGGTCATCTTAAAATCAGGGTAATCTTCTATTTGAGTAAATATGGTAATATTATAATGTATTTATAGTCAATGGTGCTTGAAATAATAAAGTGAATAGTAATCCTCCTATTTGTTCAGCCATTAAAACCATCCTTAACTTCTTTTTCTCCACCAAGTACTTGTTCATAAAACTTTGAAACTAATATATTAATAAAGGGACATATTCATAGAAAAACTGAGATACTAAGTCAATTTCCTCATAGTATATTGAAAAATAACAAGTATGTACAGTATTACAGTTCAGGACTATAAGTATATGCATAATGTATATTTTGGCCTGCTTTTCTAGTAGCTGGAAAATGTAGAGGGTGATAGAAACTAGGAGTTTCAGGTAATACTCTTTCTTTTAGTTTTGTCATTTGAATTTTAAGGTCCATGGCTGAAATTCCAGCAAAAGTGTTCTCCAAAGGGAATCAGACAAAGTAAAGATTTCTTCTCTTCTTTACTCACTCACTTACCTTCCTGAACTCTGAACAGAAGCCCTTCCTCTTGGTCATATTTAATGTTTCCTCTTGTGGGCTGTACTTGGGTAGATACTAATGATAACTCTTCTTTTTGTTAATAGAAGTATTTTTGGTGTACAGATGGTTTCATAATTGAAATATTAACAATTATCTAGGATTTGGGCATAAGGGATTAAATTTAATTATGTTATCCTTTTGCATCTCATGTGAATGTCCAGTAATGATTTTTTTATTGAGCGCTTGTACATAGCCAATGAGCAAGAGCTGCTGGTCCACTTTCAACTGGCTAATCTCCCATTCTATTGTTCATTCCACCCTTTTTATAGCAGCAGAATGGGAGCATATGGTGATAATTCAGGTAAATTCCACAAACGAGAAGGAAAGTGTTTGAATATGTGGCTGCAGCAAAATGGACAGAACTGTGCTGGAGAAAGCTGGAAAACACAGGACCTTGACTTGCAGAACCAAAATAGTCCATGCACAATGGATGCCATACCCTGCATGTCTATTATATATGAGTTATATATGAGATAATACCTAGTCTTCAAGTGATTTTTTCATTACTTCTTAGAAAGGCATCACTGATTATGAGCAGAGCCCCAGATAATATCATACTTAGTAGTCATTGAAATTAAGCAGTAAAGTGTGAGTGATTCTTTTGAAAAGATGCAGTTTGTTTACCTTCCTGTATTTTTAGTTTGGATTTTCATACAAAGACCACTGAAAATAAGTTAAAATTAGGCTTACATGTCATAGTGTTGGGAGCTAAACAAAACTTCAAAATACACAGATTTCTGTTATCGGGGAGGTTTTATCATCATCAACATATCTGGATTCCCTGTCATTTCAATTGTGTTCACTTTCATCTCTACCACGTGTTGATCGAAGGGTGGCATTTATATACAGTTTTGTATTTTATACATGTATGTTTTTCTTTTTTCTCCCTCATAGCAAGCAGCATGTTTAATATGGTTTATAATATGAAATCAATAATATATGTTGGTTTGTTTGCTTGTTTGCAGGGATTTTTTCTGACGGTTTCACCAGAGGCAGTATTAAAAGTGGCCTCTCAGGCTTCTGCAAACAACAAGATCTTCAGTTTAAATCTTTCTGCACCATTTATTAGCCAGTTCTATAAAGAGCCAATGATGAAAGTTATGCCTTATGTTGACATCCTTTTTGGAAATGAGACGGTAAGTCCTTCTAAAAACATTTGAATTACAGCTGTTTATATCGGGAATAGTCTCTTATTTCCCCCTCTTTATTTACATATATTAATCAATTTTTTATTATACAATAGTGTAAATTTAATCCATAATCTTAGTTCAAAAAGAATCTAAGGAAGTGCAGTGATTTGGTGAGTAGCTAGTGTGTTAACCTGTTAAAAACATGATAATATTATCTTTGATTTTTTTTTGTGGAATAAAATAGAAACTGTCTTAGAGGAGTCCATGTAAGAAATCTCCTTTTTGCTTTGCTTTTCTGTGCATGAGTGTAGAAAGAGATTATGTGAAATCCTGACCCCAGTGAAATCAATGACAAAGCAGAAATTGACTTCACTGAGACTTATATTCCACTTACCATATTGGTGCTATGTTGCCTTTTTGCACTTCACAGAGTTCTCTGAGTATTTATAGGATTGCTCGTCATGGAAAACAGTGATGAATTCCTGAAAAAGGAACTTAACAAAATGAACTAAGGACTTATCTGCACTTGAGATACGGACTGATAGCTGAAATAGTGCTAAAAATTGATTACTATGAAAATGGCATATCCTTTTGTCACAGGTTGCAAGTCACTTTTTGGTGCTGGTGCATCATGTTCAAATATGGTAGGGTTGTACTGGTGCAGATATAACAATGCAAAAACAAGTGCAGACAAGCTAGGAAGAACAAATCTCATCTGTTCAGGAGCTTGGAATTCTGTGATTCTAAGCTCTGAGAAAATCAATTTTTTTTCAGGTCTACTAGGATAGTGACAACCTCCTGAGCCTCAGGAACCTAAGTGAAGAAATATTTAAATGTTGGCATTCTCCTATCATTGTCACTCTCTCAGGCTCATTCTGTCATTTGGCATACAGAGACCTCATCAGGTGCTATTGAGTGTCTCTTTTCAATAATCAGACCATCTCAAGTGCTGATCTTGTCAGACCTTACAAATTAAGTAGTCAGACTTGGTCAATACTTGGTTGTCAGACTTCCAGGTGGTTGTGTCCCTCCTCTTTTTTTTATCAGTACAGTTCTCATGACCTGTTTGGATATTATGAATCGCAGTGTTATGCAAGGTACCATTTTTCAGAAGAAGTATAAAACATAGATTGTGACACTTGTTATTAGATTCAAGCAATACTTCACAAGGAAAAGCCCCAGTTACTGGTCAGATTAACATTTTGAGAATTATATTCTGCCCACGTTACTTCCATCAGGCATTTCAGTTGGGTATGATGGTATTTATTCTGTGTCATAAAATATTGTGCAGTGTGTAATGAAGTGTGCAGTTTCCCCTGCATTTTCTGCATATAGTTTTTGAAGCATTTTGGTATCTTTAGGTAAAAACAGTTAGCAGTCATTGCGAAGTGTGACTGTACAATACATGTACTTCAAAGAGAACCACTATTCTTTAGCTATGTTACTTGCAGCCAGAGTTGTGTCTATATCCTTGGGTTTCCAAATGAATGTAAGCATAGTCTACTTTCATCTCCGCTTCTTGCTACATAACCTGCCCATTGCCACTTCAGGTTCTCCTTTCTTTAAGATGTCTTTTAACATGGCTTATTCTCCTGTCTCTTAATCATTTGAATCCTCTTTCTTTCTATAATATGCCTCTACCTATTAGCTACTCCTATATATTGTGGCTGCCAGTGTTTCTGCTCAGTGCTATGTCTTGTAGGCAAGACCAGATGCAAAACGCTTTTAACTCTTTGTTCATTCTGACACAGTTCAGCCTCCTAAATGGTCCCCTTCATGTAATTTTGAGTTATGTATAAATGCTTAATTGTGTCTAGCAGATAATATATGTCTTGATGTACAATTAACTGCTCCAGGGATAATGAACATCTTAAGTCCTATTTTTTCCCATTTACTCTGATCTTGTTTCTATCTTTACTATTGTGTTTTCATTAAGTTTTGCTAATTTACATAAACAGGAAAAGAATCCTTAAGTCAACCTTTACAACGTAGTTATGTTTTAATACATAAGTAAACATGTAAGCGAAGCATACTAGATGGTATAGTTGTTATTTTATTAGAACAATAAATAGTGTCACACACAATTTTACTCTTTGGTATCTTCATTCTACATCATAAGCCAACACAATTTTATTGTTAATCACTGAACTTTTTATATTTTTAGAATAATACAGAAAACATAAGTGAGGAGCAAAATTCAAAATTGGTGCCATGCCTAAGCTAAAAACAATTGGCAAAGTGATTTTAAATTATATCTTGTATTTAAAAATTTACATCTCAAAGGAGATTGGTTATTACAAGTTTATCCAGATGATAATTAAAATGGGCAACTTATAAACCTCTCAGAATAAATGCTCTAATTTAGAATGTAAATGCCAGCCTACCCTTCACTGTACTGGTGATCCTGAATACTGCTATAATAAGTCAGTATACTTACAATTTCAACTGTAGTTCTGTGACTGTTGGTATATTAATGATTTCTTTGAAATCTCTTTAAAACCTAAGCAAAACATCTTGTCTTGGAAATTTGACACTTATTAAGTAGACTTCACATAATAAATTTAATATAGGACATTCAGTATAAAAGAATTATGCAGTCATTGCTGCTAACCAATTAGGGCCATTCTATAGTCATTATCTGGCAATACATGACTGCAGAATTTGCTTATTGTCATTGCTTTTAATTTTTATTAAATTACGTTTTTTTTAATAGTGTCATTTTGCAAATAGTTCTTAGCAATAATACTTTCCAAGCTACTATAATCACTGGATAATTAACCTGCCAGGATTAAGCACACTCTACTTTGCCTCAGGATGCTTAACTCTCAAATAAGGTCAGTTATCTCCTGATGATAACTGCTTTGTCACAAGTTGCTGCTTAATTCATCTGTAAAAACTTACCTTACCTTACAATACATATTTTACAAGTCAAGGTAACTTTAAAAAATAACAACAGTGGCTGCAGTGGTCAAAGGGTACGTTTTTAATAATCATATGCCAATGTAAACCTACCTAATGGATAGGAGGCTTCTTGCACAACAGTTGCTGTACTTGCAGATGTAAGTAAAAGGTAGGGAAGAGTGCCATAACTGCATTCTCCCTTTCCCCTAGGTCTTTCCCACATCCTGGTTAGTCTCCTCATCTCTGATAGGCCTATTTAAGCTGACTGAAGGGTAGGCTAGGAGGCATCTGCTCTACACTACCTATTTTTCTTGAGAATCCTCTGAATATTCACCTGGAAGTAAATGCTGCTTTCAGGCCCAGGCTTGCACCTTCTCTGAGAAGATGCTATGGGCAATGGCATCTCTGAAAGGGAGGAAATGAAGTCTGTGTACTGAGGAGCACACTTGTGGGCTGCAGTTTCTTTTTCTTAAAAGATTTCTCTGAGTCTGGAGATTCTGGAAAGCCACGATCCCTGCCTTTCTGCAAACACCTTAGACACTGGGAGAAATATTTGACAAGATGTTGGTCTGCTGAAGCTTACAGGTTTTCCTGGGTCCTCTGCCTATTTACGGTAGGATGTCACCATGAGACGGTTCCAATTTGCATTTATTTTCTTTTTATTTAGACTAACACAGGTTTTGAGTGCCTGGTAAGTTATTTACAAATAAAAACCAGGATCAAACAAATTAGTTCACCATTCACAAAGAAATGCAAATTAAAAGGAAGATATGTAAAATGGTGAACCAAATGTTAAGAAGAAATAAAGTTGGGTTTTTTTAAGCAGCAAAAAATAAAGATAATAAATTTAACAAGCTGTCTTGGAAATCAAAACCCCTTTATCTGCACTGGTTGATGCTGTTACTTCTAAACATGCAGTGTATGAACAAATTAATTACAGGATTGTAAACTAAAGTTCTGCAATTACAGAGTAGTGTTGCGACCTGATTGGGAAATTGATGTGGGTGCAACAACAAATGCACTGAAAAGAAAGGAGGTTACATGAAAGACTTGTAGATTTTGAAAAGCCATAACAATGGCTCTAATAATGGTTCTGGAGCCATGTATCCTAAGCTTTAGAAAGATGAATACATTTGCATGCAAAAAAATAAACAGGCCTTGTCATTATTATATCTAAGAATTGTACCAAAATGGGGCATTGTGTCTCTTTAAATTAAAATGCTTGTAAATGTTATAAAGTAGAGAATAAAATCATATAAAAAATCCTCACAAATATATACTTTTGGAATAGTAGGCAACTGTCGATCCTCTGTGTTATGGTATACACGTAAGGGCTAGGGACAGACATTCAAAAAGCCTGAGCATGAATTGATTCAATCTTTGCAGGTTAATCGAACCTGGCTAGCCTAAATCAGTTTTGTAACCAGACAGACTTCCCAGAAATGCAGACGCATGCCTGCAGTGAGTCAGGCTAGAAGCTGGGGGGTGCTAGAGCAGTCCTCCCTTCCCTTGCACAGTACTGAGCTGAGAGGGGCCATCACCAGGCTCTGGCAGGGCACTCTGATTAGCTCAGCAGGGAATTGATAACAGTGTTTATCACCTCTAACTCAGGGTTTATCGCCCCATTAAGAAAACAACAGAGGGACATTACCATTTACCTGTTGATTCTACTTGTTGATTCTGCATGGACCGTAGCCAGCATGTGGCCTGCTAGCTAATACACAGACACCTCCTCAACAAGGCATAGGGGAAGGGGGAATTCCTGCTTAGGAGGGGTTGATGACAGGAGGGGGGAAGCAGCCAGCAGTCTCTGGAGCTCTAGCCAGGCAGTAAAGGGGAAGGGCCAGGTCTGCTATGGAACAGAGAGCCCCATCCAGCCCAGAGAGCATGCTGGGATGCTGGGGGAGTCCGATTTATCTTAAACCAGAAAGGGGGCTGGGACAGACATTGCATAAACTGGTTTGACCCAAATCAGTTAAGTCTACTACTACATTGAACCAGGTTTATCTCAAACTGGTTTCAGCCATTTTCAAACTGGTTTATGTGCACTGAACATCTGTTCTGTTAGAGGTTTAAACCAGTTTCTGATCACTTAAACCAGTTTA